TATAATAATAATATTGAATATAGTGTTTAGATCACTAAAATCATTTGAGGTGCTTATATACGTTGCCAATTACGAATTTTTTTCTTAGTGTAGCGTAAATTTTCATATTTGACCATGGGAATTTTCGTGCTTGAAGAAACTTAGGATTTAATTTTATGAAGCGTAAATCCAAGTTTTTTCAATCCTTTTATACATATATATGCATTGATATAAAAAACATAAGTGATTTAATTAGCTTTAAGCATTGACTTAGAATAGTATCAGCTCCATCTGATTCCTCCATCCCGGCCAATATTTCTTGGCCAGTTCGAGAACGAAAACCAAAGCAGCGGCCGCATCAAATGTGGCCAAAAGTTTCCACACCCAGAGCAGATCGCGATTAGTGAGTGGAGCGTGGGTGAACTCGACATACGAATGGGTTTGGTTGTGGGGCTCGATCTGGGTGGCCGTCAGGCTGCGCATGGCCTCCGAGATCCAATGCCTGACCAGGCCGACGTCGTGGGCGCGATAGATGAACTCGTTCAGGGCTGCCTTGAAGACGGAGTTGTTCTGCACGAGGCCCACAATGGGATAGTCATAGAAGAGGATCAAGCCGGGGGATTCGCATAGGACGTTCCGTCTGTAGCGGCTCTGGTAGTTGTTCACGATCTGCCACAGTCGGCTGGAGGTCTGGTAGGCGTGGTGCGTGTCCAGGGCGAACATCAGAGCGTTGCGCTTGATGTTGGGCGCCAGAATCTTATTGGTCAACTGGCCGATCTGTTGGCGATTCACCTGCAGCTCACTCATGCTCGCTGCATACTCGTCGAACATGACGGGCAAGCCGCTCTGCTGCAGCTCCTCGAAGTTCTGGATGTGCTGATAGCAGGGCAACTTGGTCAGCAGGGCGCTCAGGCTGGCGCTGAAGAAGCAGCTGAAGACCAGGCTGAAGACGTACATGATCATGAGGAACTGTCGCATCGTGAGGCTGCGATAGCGTCGGATGATGCCGATGGGCAGGCCCAGGGCGCCAGCGAAGACGCGCAGATTGACGAACAATGCGAACCAGTTCCAGTTCACGCCCTCACGTCGGGTGATCCGCTGGTTCGCCAGCTCCAAGAGCTTTTCGAGCAGGGCGAAGATCAGGTAGACGCCCAGTATGATCAGAAAGTAGGGCCGTAGACTCCTGTAGATGTCATCCAATCGCATCTCTTTGCCACACGGCACGACTATAAACACCTGGGAAATGTCCAGGTAGGTGGTGTACTCCGTATCGAAGGAGAATATCCGGCCATACATGGGCAAGTCCACCTCCTTCCGGCTCACCAGACCCCGAATCTCCACGTCACTTAGCCAGGTGCTCTCGTTCACTGGATTCCTCAATCTCAATCGAATATTGTATATGCGAGCGAAGTGCCTGATGAGTCGATCCATGTAGCCGCCCAAGTATTTCCTGCCGCCCACTCTGTGCTTGGCCAGGAAGCTGCCGGGAATATGTAGACTCGGATGGGCTATGGCTGTCCTCTGCTGAAAGTCGCCCCAGATCCGGTTGAAGATTTTACTTCCATCTGAATCATTCAGCGGCGCGAAAGTCGCCTCCGGAAATGGCTGCAATCGATAGGCGTTTATCGATAGCTCCATCGGCATGGAGTGCAGCAGCAGCATATTCAGCAAATTGTATTGATCTGCCTGAACGGCGATCAGTGATAGATATTCCTCTGGATCAGCCTCGGCAACATTCAACCAGATCAGAGTGCGCGTCTCTCTGATCCGGTCCAGAATCTCGGCCAGGCACTGCAGCAGCACGACGTCCTCCCGCTGCTGTATGCAGAGCAGGGCGAGTGCCTCGCTATTGAAGTGTTCGCCTAGCTTAATCCCGTTAGATTCGTCCAGTCGTAGCACCGGTATTCCAATCGGATTCAGCTCGTTCAGGCAGGAGTTGAAGTCCTTTTCGCGTTGCATGAACAGCAACGTCTCAATGGGCCTTTGACTTTGTATTTTTTCTATGAGTTCCAGGATATACTCAACATCTGAGGTTTCAGCTGACGCCGATAATCGATAAGTTATCGATTGGCCAGGTAGCAGCCACAGACCAAACATCAATGCACTGAGCGCCAACAACATTCTGAGCCAAGTGGAGAACACAAACTGAGCGTTCGCTTCGACATTTTACAGTTTCTATTAATTTATACATTAATCTAATTAGTTTTAATCGAAAAAGGGAATCTTGAAAAACTCACGTATCGTTTAGTAGGTGTCAAAAGTCGAAGCGAAGGCAGGTGAGCTAATGATGCTATATAATATATACACCAATATTTATAGGTATATATAAACAAGGTACAAAATATATATATTTTTAAATATTTACTTATTGCTCTATACATATTTAAAACTCTCGAAACTGAAACTATTACAAATAAGAAAATAAGAAAAAAATAAGAAAATTCCATTATAAAGTTTACACTTATATTTATATATTTTTATTTACCTGTCAACAGGTAGTTAAAATCTTGGGTTTTTGAAGAACTACGAAATTTGATTGGAATCACCTGTAAATGCAGCGTTTTTCGTCAAATGTTTCGCTTGTTTTATGCTTTCGTTGAGTTTTCTCTTAGTTTCGTTTCACATCGTTTCGCTGTGGCTTAAATGCGCGTATATGCATATTTTATCGCTCTCTTTAGTTGCCATTGCGGCTCTCTTTGTTTCACTTTGTTCGGCCATGCTTCGCATTTTATCCCTTGCGCGCGTTCCGTTGCCAGCCGTATCGTTTCGCATTCGTTTCGTTTAGTTTATCTGCTTGTTTGGCTCGTTGGTTGGTTCGTTGCGTTTCATTTGGTTTGTTCGTTGCTGTTGCCGAGCAACTCTTGACGTGAACGGACGTGTTTTTTCTCGCAGCGGCAAACACTGCGAACGCAACGAAAGAACAGACAGGCGACAAATACAAAACACCGTAACGCAACTGAATAGAACTGTAATGTGCAAGAACGTTATACACCAATACAATACTTTCTCAGAAGGAACGTCTGCTGCGTTTTTGTTTTTGTTATCGTTGTTAAAGTCAAGTGAACAAGTATCCGGTTAAAATTATAAATAAAATTTTATTTTACACCTCTTTGGTTTAGTGTTACGTTTTATGTTGAATTTGTATAGTTTTCGCAATTGTCCAAAATGCAATTGAACATAAGTAAGAATCAATTACCGGTGCGCGTGTGAGACCCTCAATAATAATAATCAAAATCATAATAAAACGGTGAGCACGAGAGACAATCAAATAATTATAATACGAGTATATGACAAGCTTGAGAGCTTCACGTGCAGCATAAGAAATCGTGATAAAACACACACACACAAACATACATAAACATCAACAGCAGCATCAGCATTTTGTTGTTGTGCACGCTCAATCGCCGTTAACATCGTGTGTGTTCCAGCAGCAGCAGCAGCAGCGGCAGCAACCAACAAAAACAAACGAGCAATTTTCGTGCGTCGACGTCGCTGCTGCCGGCTGCTGCAATTATGTGTAGCAGCAGCGACGTTTTAAATAAAAGGTAGACAGCAATAGCAACAAAACAAGCATAACAGGCAGAAGCTTCCGCTGCCTCAGTCGCCGTCACCGTCGCCGTCGCCGTCGCTGTCTCTTGCATGCAATTAATGTACACAGTTTTTTGCATACATAAATTACAACAACAAAACAACAACAACAAAAGTAACATCAGCGGCAGCAACGTTTACAATTTGTGTGTGCTTTGCCGGCAGACGCTGTCGAGTGCCGCCGCCGCCCCAAAGGTCGTTGGCGCTAAGGTCACAGTCAACTGAAGAGAGAAGCGAGACTTAGAGAGAGAGAGAGATAAAGAGTGTACGAATTTCGTGCTGCAAGTGTGACAAACAGGAACGCCCCAACAACAATAATACAAAAGCTTGAACAAAACGGTAAATCTTCAAATACGCGTGTGCCTCAAGTATTTAGATAAAATAAAAACGTAAATTCAACAAACAGCAGCAGCAATCGCCGTCGACGGCAACGTCAGCGCAGCTTGCAAATCGCATGGTAAGTGCCGCTACTTTTTCTTTCCCCCTTTGGTCTCCTTCAGCTTCATTCGCATTTGCCGTTGTTATTGTAAATGATTCGCAGTCACCTTTAGCTACGACTGGGCTCTCCTGCTTAAACCTTTGCTCTCGCTGTCTCTCGCC